TGCGCAGTCGGAGGCGGCCGTCAAAATTAGAAATGAGTTCCTCCCCCCAGGGCTCCAAGAGAAATGTATAGAGCAAGTTGATACTAGCAATCTTCAGTACCTCGAGTTGATCTCTCACCCTTCCTCCGACCCCGATGCCTTCCCTCCTCCAGCTAACGACTTTGACAGAGGAGGAGGAGGAGAAGGAGGAGGATGAGGAGGAGGAGGAGGAGGAGGGGGAGGGGGAGGGAGGGAGGAGGAGGAGGAGGAGGAGGAGGAGGAGGAGGATGAGGAGGAAGGAGGAGGAGGAGGGAGGAGGAGAGAGTGAGGGAGGGAGGAGGAGGAAGGAGGAGGAGGAGGAGAGGAAAGGAGGAGGATGGAGGAGGAGGAGCAGGAGAGGAGGGGAGGAGGTAGGAGGAAGGAGGGGAGGAGGAGCAGGAGGAGCAGGAGGAGGAGGAAGGAGGAGGAGAGGAGGGGAGAGGAGGAGGAGGAGGAGGGAGGAGGAAGGAGGAGGAGCGAGGAGGAGGAGGAGGAGCTAAGGCCATATGCGTAAGCCATCCCCCGCACTCTCCCGCGGGGGTCGCGCGCGCCCAGCGGGCCGGCCTCGGACCCCGACCCGCGGCCGCGGTCAGGGGGCGCCGCCACGGCACGAAGGTAATCAGCCGCTACGATTAGGGTGGGCACGTCCCTCTGCAGGAGGACGATTAAAGAAGCGTGCAAGCATGGTATGGTGACGACTTGTCTTGCTTGCTTGACTCTAGTTGGGTATGTTTGGCTACGTTCTACTTCTCTTCCCAAAACCGCCCGCCTGGAGGAGGACATGCCCGGCCTAACGTTGATACAACATCAACCACCAGCCGTTGAATTACAAGGCGACGAGACTGACCGACTTCTGTGAAGACGCTCCGGCAAGGATGCCCAGACCATACACGCATAGAGGAACAGGGGCGCGAACAGACGGGGCCCAAAAGCGAATAGGGCACAACGTCTGGCATGGAATACAGCCGCGACCCGACGACATCGTCGTCATCATCATCATCATCATCATCATCATCACCACCATCATCATCATCAGCATCAGCATCAGCATCAGCATCATCATCATTGCTACGACCGCCCTCGCGAAAGCGTCCAAGCACGAGCTCCGCGACAAGCAGCCCCAGTGCGAGAACGGGCTGCGTAGCAGGCGGCCCAAGGACGACCACCACCATTACGACACCAAGTACGCCACCAAGACCGACACCAGGAACGACACGACCGTGCAGCCCGAAAGGGTGATTTTCTCAGTACGTCGTCGCGGAGGCACTGGTGAACAACGGCCACGCCACCGACGACGAGTACGACTACGGCCGCGCCGCCTCTTACGAGTACGATCGCGGTAGTTCTTGCGATATCGACTTGTATTCCTTCGACCCCCAAGACGACTCTGGCTTCCAGAATGTCGAACACTACGACTTGGTAGCCAAGGACGCCGATTCGCAACTCGAGAACTACGAAGGGAGCGTGCCCTCTGAGGGACTAGAGCCACCACCAGAGCTACCAGGGCCACCAGGCACGCTTCGGGGAGCACGAGTTGAATTATGAAAGTTGCACCCACAGCTACGAGAGCCACGACAAGCGTTTCAAGACCCACCTGCCGAGCTAGGAGAGCCACCACCAGGCCCACGAGAGCCACAAGCTGAGCTACGAGGGCCGCGAGCTGACCTACGTGAGCCACAAGCAGGGCTACGAGGCCCACCAGCTGAGCCACGAGGGCCACTAGCTCAGAGACGAGGGCCACCCGCAGAGCTACGTGGAATACCAGGAGAGCTACCAGAGCCACCAGCTACGAGAGTCACGAGCAGAGCTTCGAGAGCCATCGACCGAGCCAGGAGGTCCAACTGGAAAGCTACGAGGGCCACAACCTGAGTTTCGAGGGCAACGAGCACAGATCATACAGCCACAACCAGAGCTACCAGGACGACCAGCGGCCCTTCGAGAACCACAAGCTTAGCTGCGAGGACCGCAGGCACATCGACGAGTGCCACCGGAGTGCCTCAAGACCCACCTGCCGAGCTACGAGAGCCACCAACAGAGCCGCGAGAGCCACTAGCTGAGCCACAATGGCCATATGCTGCGCTACGCGCGCCACCAGCTGAGCCGCGAGGACCATCAGCTGAGGTACCGGAGGCACCAGCTGGGCTACGAGGACAACAAACAGAGCCACGAGGACCATAGGAACAGCTACTACAGCCACCAGAAGAGCTACCAGGGCCCCCAGCAGACCTTCGAGGACCACCAGTTGAGCTACGAGGCCCAGAGGCACAGCTACGAGACCCACCGGCACATCCATAGGACTGCGAGCTGAGCTACCAGGACCACAGGCACAGCCACGAGAGCTACCAGGGCCAAATGCTGAGCTACGAGGGCCACGACCTGGGCGACGAGGGCCACGCGCAGGGCTGCGAGGACCACTGGCTGAGCTACAATGGCCACAAGACGAGCAACGAGAGCCGCGAGCAGAACTATGAGTGCCACCAGCTGAACTACAAAAACCAAGAGCAGAGCCCCGAGAGCCTCCAGCACATCTACGAGGACCACTTGCTGAGCTTCGAGGGCAGCAAACTGAGCTACGAGGGCCGCAAGCAGAGCTCCGCGAGCAACCAGCTGCGCTACGCGTGCTACCAGTGGAGCTACGAGGGCCACACATGCTGAGCTACGAGATCCACCAGCGGTGCTACGAGTACCATTTCCTGCGGTGCTACGAAGACCACTTCCTGAGCGAGAGCCACCAGCGGAGCTACCAGGGTCACAGGCTGACCGACGAGAACATCCAGCAGAGCTACTGAGGCCTCCAGCTGAACAACGAGGACCACAAGCTGGGCTACAAGGGCCACGCGCAGAGCTACGAGGACCTCCAGCTGAGCTGCGAGGACCTCCTGCTGAGCTCGAGTGGGCCGTCCACAATCGGATGTACAGTCGAAGCCACATGCCTTGGCTCGAGAACTACGGCTTTCAGGGGGAACACATGGAAGAACGTTGCCAGCAGCTAATGGAGCAGCAGTGGCAAAACGCGAAGAGTGAACTAAGCACGAGCCCGCTCCAGAACATCAGCGAAGTCAATTGGGACATGGCTGTTGAGAAGCACAGTACAGACGAGGCGGAAGGGCACCGCCGCAGTCGGGAACCAAAGGAGACCAAGCGACCGATCACCATATGTGATATTGATGAGGCGAGGCTCAGCAAGAAGCACGTCGACTGCCTTGTAATACAGATCGACGCCATGCTGATTACGGTCGTATTGGAGGACGGCCGAAAGTCCACGGTAGGCAGAGCTACAATCAGACAGAAGCCGCAGAGGTGGAGCCATGTGTAAAACATGTTGTTGTCATAACATCAGGGGCCGGCACGGCGTTACGGACAAGGGTGCTATAAGTACGACGCTACTGACAATCTACCACGCTTCTACATCAAGTACATCATGAGCGGCCCGGCCGCTCCTTCTCCTCCTCCTCCTCCTTTTCCTCTCCCTCCTCCTCTTCTCGGGCCTCAGGATGTGTAGCAGGGGGAGCTGGTGGCCTCTCCCCACTCACCTCTCCGGAAAGGGTCCCCCGGCGGCGTCTGGGGGGCCCGCGCACTCGCGCCGGGCCGGTCGCCCGCCCCGCCGGGCGGCCGCAGGCGCGCGAGCGCAGCAGGGGACGCCCGATGGCGTTGCGTAAGTCAGGAAGGGGGCCCGTGGTAAGAGCCCGCTGCACTTGCGAAGTAGGCTCACTCACGGGCTCAGGCAGACCCTGCATACGTACTGGCTTTAGGGTTCGGGCGGGAGCTGCTTGGTCATCTTTTGGTTTCTCTGCCCTAGGATACACCCAGGCCCCACAGGCGGGGAACATCTAGGGTTTGAAGTTTCGCAGCACACGTGTTTAGGAAAGGCCAGTGCCTGTGTGGATTGCAAGTATGTTCCAGATGGCTACCACAAGCCTCTTGCAGCGAGGTTTTTGCATAGGCGCACGTACCCGAGCACCTCTCGCACTGCATAATGAAGCGATCGCAGTGTGCTTTTGGAGGCCGCCATCACGGGTAAGCCTGACCAAAAACGAGACAAAGGTCGCCCCAGAGGACCGCCTGCCGTTCCTTATCAAACAGCAGTGTGATCAGTCAGCAAGAGCGGCCCTCCACTTACATCCATCGTTTGGTCTGTCGTCGTGGTCATAGCTAAAGCAGCAAGAATTGAAGGCCGCCTGCATTGTGCATTGCATCCCTAGTATTACCATGGTTTGGTCACGACGCTCACGAGAAAGGAGGGTCCCTAAGAAGCTCGAATCCCTGAGAGACGAAAGAAAGAGCCGTCCGCGCCGTACTCAGGTCAGTTGAAAGAGAGCGCCTAAGTCAGGCAGTCTTTTCTCATCGTGTGACCTCGGGCTTCTGTCCCAATGGCCTCCTCGTCATATGAGAGAGGTGGGGTAACCATATAACTGCTGTGCTGTAGAAGTAAATAACAGGTCCAGCCAAGAGTGGCAAGCGTTACGCTGCACGCAAGCATTTGCTGGAAGGCTTTCATCCGCTGGATGGTTCGCCAACTGACGACACTGGTCATTCTCAGGCCCTCCAGCAGCATCAGCGACGGGCCTCCCGCTACAGAGGCCGAAGGCGGTTGGGATCGCCGACCCAGCGCGGCGCTCCTCCTGCCTCTGTGTGCGCAGCCCGCTCAGATCATCATTGTATCCATATATATATATATATATATATATATATATATATATATACTGCTGCCGTCTCGGCTCAAGGTAGTGGAAGCAGGTACAGCGCCGCCTGCCCGCGGCACATGGGAAAATGGATCGCCACCCTTTCCCTTACCTTCCTCTACCTACGGCAACCCTTGCAGGTTAGAATCTTCGGTCGTCAATCTACATACACAGCCTCCGAGCGAACAAAATCCTCCCTCCCTCCTCCCCCTCCCTCCCCCCCCTCCCTGGGCGCACGAGGCGGGGCGGGGTTCGTCCTCCCCCCCCCGCTGCGCGCGCCCAGCCGCGGCGCCCCGCGAGGCTGCGGCTGCCCAAGGAGACGCCCGGCGAGGAACGCGAGCGGCGGGTGGACGAGGTGCTGCGCCAGCTTGGCCTGGCACACGTCAGGGATACCAACGTAGGCGCCCGCGGTGGGCGAGGAGGGCGAGGAGGGCGAGGGTGGGAAGGAGGGAAGGGGGGGGCGGGGAAGGAGGAAGGGGGGGGGGGGGTCGGGGAGGAAAGAAGGAGGAGGAGGAGGAGGAGGAGGAGGAAAGCGGAGGCGGAGTATGAGGAGGAGGAAGAGGAAGGGGAGGAAGGGGACGACGTGAACGAGGACGGAGGAGGAGGAGGGGGAGGGAGACGGAGGAGGAAAGAAGAGGAATGTGAGGAGAAGTGACGAGGTGGATGGATGAAGACGAGGAGGAGGAGGAATAGGCGGAGGAGGAGGAGGATGAGGCGTCAGGAGGAGCTGGGATAGGAGGACCAGCGTAAACGCAAACATCGTCAAATATAGGGCAGCCACCTTCATTCCAATTTCCTTCTTCATAGGCCCATGCAAGTATTCAGTCTAACTGAGGGCAGTGCCCCGTTGGAAGACAACCGTTTGAACATCCGAATGTGCGCCAGAACGCCGTTCTTGGGATTTCAGCGCCGCGAATTTCTGTTACGATTGCGTCGTGACGATCATGAATCGTGCCAGAACATGATTGCTTGACGTCAGTACCGCGAATTGACGTAAGCGTTGCGCCCAGACACTCCGACACCGTGCCAAAACACCACATCTTGGACGGTGACCAAGAGAATCCTTGAAATTGGCGTAAACTCTTAGAACAAATGTGCGCGGCGCTATAGCGAGAGCCACAGATTGAAAAGGAATCACCACCCATCCGCGAAACGCATGCGAATACTCAAATCGAAGATGCACGACCCACGCAGATTCTGATTTTGTTGCGCAGTGGCATGTCATCGTGCAGGGTTGCACGCTTGTTTTGCCGCTTCTCTCGCAGGCAGCTCGAAGAGCATTCACAGATTTGTGTGGGAGTTCCGCGCGGATGTTTTAGTTTCTGCGTACGCCGCTGTCTTCTGTGTCAGGGAACGGCCTCTTGCACCTACGCTGGGCTGCACGCTCGTGCTCGCCAGACCGACACGCGTGCCCGGGCGTGCCCGCAGCATTCATCGCTTTTTTTCCCCGCCGCGCGGGCGAAGGGCTGAAGGGCCAGGCCGCCCCGCAGGGGCGCGGAGATAACTTCGCCTCGCGGTTTCCTCGACGAGGTCCGCGTGGCGAGATGGCCTCGCCTCGCGGAGGTGACCTCCCCAAACGGCTTCCTCCGATAACCTCGCCCCGCGCGAACCCTGAAGCCCGACGTTGCGAGAAAGGTGCAGCATCTCGAGAGATCACGACCGGAGCCCCAAACCCCGGCTCTCCGCGTCAGCGCTCGAAACAGGTCGACATGTGAGGGCCCTGGGGCCCGAGACAAGGGCGTAAGCGCCCGCCGTGAAAAAGAGGCAGCACCCAGACCTGAGGAAACATGGCCGCGCTCAGACTCCGCCTTTCGCGTGGAGTTGGGCGGCGGTTCGCTTCCAGAGGCTCCGAGGGCGAGGGGAGGGAGGGAGGGAGGGAGGGAGGGAGGGAGGGAGGGAGGGAGGGGGAGGGGAGGGGAGGGCCTCTGAGGAATTGGGGTGTGGCGGCGGGGGTGGAGGGGGGGGCTTCGGGGACTTGGCGGCGCAAGAGAGCAAGGGGCACGGCCAGTCTCGGGCAAGGTTCGCTGGCCTCGGGCTCTGGGGCGAGGCCAGTGGCCGCGGCAGGCCGCGGCGTGGACGTCAGCGACGGCCTGGGCGCGGCCCTCTCCTCTCCTCCTCCTCCTTCTCCTCCTTCCTCCTCCTCTCCTCCTCCTCCTCCTCCTATTCCTCCTATTCCTCCTTTTCTCCTCCCTCTCCTTCCTCCTAACCCTTCCTCCCCGACTCGATGATCGTCCTAGCTACCCTCCTCACTGCCTTCTCCTTCTTCCTACTCCTTGTCCTCTCCTCTCCTCCAACTCCCTCCTCCTCCTCCTCACTCCCCTCCTCTCCTCCCTTAGGCCTCCTCCGTCCCGTCTTCTCCTCCTCCTCCTCCGCCTCCTCCTACTCCTCCGCCTCCTGCTCCTCCTCACTCCCCTCTCCTCCTCTCTCCTCCTCCTCCTCCTCTCCTCCTCCTCCTCTTTCCTCCTATTCCTCGTATTCCTCCTTTTCCTCCTTTTCCTCCTCCTCCTCCTCCTCCTCCTCCTCCTCCTGCTCCTGCTCTTCCTCCTCCCCCTCCTCGGCGTTCGAGGCAGAACGCCGCCAGCCTCTGCGGTGAGCGAGCTGGGCTGGTGGCATTTGGCGCCTCGCAGACAGGGGTGGCTTGATGGGGGCGGTCTCCTCGGAGGGCGGAGGGGGGCCTCCAGGAACGAGGGCGGCTGCTCGGAGGCCCTCCCGGCTTCTGCTGCGCCTTCTCAGCGACGGTGTTTGTGGACGTTATGTGTGCTTTGGCCGGCGGAGGGTCTCATGTTCTTGAAGGGTGTTAGTATGTCTTACGTCCGATTGTAGTTCGTTGACCAAAGCGCCCGAGCGAACAGATTTAAAGGCATGGCGATAAAAGGGGCTAGCAGCAACAGAAGCAGCAGCAGCAGCATATGTGCGTGTATATATAGATATATGTGTATATACATAGAGAGAGAAGGAGAGAGAGAGAGAGAGAGAGAGCGCGCGCGCATCGTACGCAGATGTCAGTTTGCCCCCACGCAGACACACACACACACACACACACACGGAAGCCACCCGTGGGCGAGAAACGCATCCGTTTCCGCGGCCTCGCGGGCCAGGCCCCTGGGCCGCGACCCCCTGGGATGCGGGGCGCTCTTCCGCGGATGCCCCCCCCGCGCGGAGCGCAGCCTCGCGTCCGCGCACACTTGCTCATCGATGGTTCGCGTCCTCTCCTCTGCCCTCCCTCCTCCTCCTCTCCAGACGGGTTGCGCGTATATATATATATATATATACACACAAGAAAAAACTGCCGATCTGCCGCCTCAGGCCGCCCCCCCCTGCCGTCTTGCTTGGGAGGCCGCTCCCCTCGTGGTCCCCCCCCCCTCGCGCGCGCCGCTCTGGGCCCCGACCCGCGAGGGCCCTGATGCGTTCTGGCGGTGCGCGGCCCCCAGGAGCCCCGACCCTCTGACGGGGATGACGAGCAGGAGAACGAACAGGAGGAGCAGGAGGATAACGAAGAGGAGGAGGGGGAGGGGGAGGGGGAGGAGGAGGAGGAGGAGGAGGAGGAGGAGGAGGAGGAGGAGGACGAGGATGAGGACGAGGGACGAGGACGAGGGAGGTGAGGAGGAGGAGGAGGAGGAGGAGGAGGGGGGAGGGGGAGGAGGAGGAGGGGAGGAGAGAGGAGGAGGAGGAGGAGGAGGAGGAGGTAGAGGAGGAGAGGAGGAGGAGGAGGGGGAGGGGGTGGGAGGAGGAGGAGGAGGAGGAGGAGGAGGAGGAGGAGGAGGAGGAGGAGGATAACTTGAAGGAGGAGAACGAACAGGAGGTGCAGGAGGGGAGGAGGAGAAAGGGGAGAAGGAGGGGGAAAACTAAGAGCCGTCCACCCCGCTCGTTACAGCCCTGGACGCGGCGTACCAGATGGCCCCTTTCCCCCCTGGCGCCGCTCCAGTCCCAGACACCTGATGTTCTGATGTTTGTTCAAGGCGCGGTCCCCAGAAGTCCTGGTCCTTTCCCTGGGGGCCGGCTTCTCCTCGCGCGAGTCGTTGTTTTACAATGTTGGGGCCCAGCGAGGGCCCACGGAGGCCGAAAATTGCCACCCCCCGTCGAGTTATTGTTTTCCGTGTAAAAGTCTACGCATTTTTATGTTTCAAAGAAAGATATGAGTGATAGCCTTAATACTTATACTGGACGAACAATAAACATAAGAAATTATAGCAATAAGAATAGCAGTACGAATAACAGTAATAGTGATAATAAAACTAACACTAATTCTAAGAATCATGATGCGAATGCTAAGAATACGAATAATAACAATAAACACCACAGTCTTGATACTAGTCGTAATAATGATGATACGAGTACTAGCAATAGTAGTAGTAATTATGGTAACGATAATGCTATCAAGGCTACGAATAACACTAATGGCAATACGCTTGGTGGCATTAATAGGAATGGAATCGGAACAACACTAGTGTGCATACTAGAAGTAAGAATGATACTAGTCATAATAATAAAAATCCTGATACTACTCCTGATAATAATGACAATAATAATGATGATAATAATAATAATAATCGGAAGAAGAAGAAGAAGAAGAAGAGTGATGACGCTGATGAGCGATACAAAAAAAACGGCACGAACACATCTGGGGTCAGCTCCCGAGAACCGCCCGCCGCTGCGGCGTCGTGGCGAAGGCTTCCCGACGGCGAGCCCACGTCGCGTGGACGCCGGCGTTGGATGTTCTGGCACCGCGTGGGTCGTTTCCTCCTCCTCCTCCTCCTCCTGCTCTTAATCGTTCTCCTCCTCCTCCTCCTCCTCCTCCTCCTCCCCCTGCTCCTCCTCCTCCCCCTGCTCCTCCTCCTCCTCCTCCTCCTCCTCCTCCTCCTCCTCCTCCTCCTCCCCCTCCTCCTCTTCCTCCTCTTCCTCCTCCTGCTCCTCCTCCTCTTCTCCCCTCCTCCTCCTCCTGCTCCTCTTCCTCCTCCTCCTCCCCCTGCTCCTCCTCCTCCTCCTCCTCCTCCTCCTCATCCTGCTCATCTTACTCTCCGCCTCTCACCCTCCTCCTCACCTCCTCCCTCCTCCTCCTCGTCCCCGTGCTCCTCTTCCTCCTGCTCCCAGCCGTCGGGAGCTGACCCCAGGCACGCTTGCGCCGTTGAAAAAAACTTGACAGGAGGGGAGGGGGGGAGGGGGGGGGGCAGTTTTCGGCCTCTGGGGGCCCACGCCGGACCCCAGGGAACGGGTTGGGACTTCGGGGACCGCGCAGTGCAAAAAAAACAGAACATCGGGTGTTTGGGACTGGAGCGGCGCCCGGGGGGAAAGGGGGCCATCTGCTACGCCACGTCCAGGGTTGTAGCGAGCGGGGTGGACGGCTCCCAGTCCTCCCCCTCCTCCCCCTTCTCCTCCTCCCTCCCCTCCTCCTCCCCTCCTCTCCTCCCTCCTCCTCCTCCTCCCCTCCTCCTCCTCCTTCCTCCTCCTCCTCATCCTCCTCCCTCCTCCTCCTCCTCCACCTCTCCTCCTCCTCCTCCTTCCTCCTCCTCCTTCCTCCTCTCCTCTCCTTCCTCTCCTCCTCTCCTCCTCCCCCTCCTCCTCCTCCTCCTCCTCCTCCTCCTCCTCCTTCCTCCTCCCTCCTTCCTCCCCTCCTCCTCCTCCTCCTCCTCCTCCTCCTCCTCCTCTTCTCCTCTTCCTCCTCCTCCTCCTCGCCTCACCATCATCATCATCATCATCATCATCATCATCATCATCATCATCATCATCATCATCATCATCATCATCATCATCATCACCACCACCATCATCATCATCATCATCATCATCATCATCACCATCACCATCACCATCACCATCATCATCATCATCATCATCATCATCATCATCATCATCATCATCATCATGATCAGCAGCAGCATCATCATCATCATCTGCAGCATCACCAGCATCACCATCATCCTCATCAACATCATCATCAGCAGCATCATCCCCATCATCACCATCGTCATCATCAGCATCATCGTCATCAACATCATCATCAGTATCAGCAGTATCATCGTCAGCATCATCATCATCAGCAGCAGCAGCAGCAGTATCAGCATCATCATCAGCATCATCATTATCATCAGCAGCATCATCAGCAGCAGCATCACCAGCATCAGCATCAGCAGTAGCAGGAGCAGCAGCACCATCCTCATCAGAGAATCGTCATATTCCTCATCATCAGCATCATCATCACCATCATCATCATCATCAGCAGCATCACCAGCACCATCATAATCACCATCTCATCGTCGTCATCAGCAGCATCATCATCAGCCTCAGCATCAGCATCATAAATTCATCATCGTCATCATCAGCATCATCAGAACAGTCAGCATCGCATCATCATCATCATCATCATCATCATCATCGTCATCGTCATCAGCATCGGCCTCATCATCATCATCAGCATCAGCATCATCACCATGATCGCCATCAGCGGTATGACCATCACGAGCATCATCATCATCATCAATGTCCTCATCCTCAGAATCAGCATTGTCATTATCATCAGCACCAGCAGCATCAGCATCATCATCATCATCCCCGTCATCACCATCGTCATCACCATCGTCGTCATCGACGTCGTCGTGATCGTCATCATCGTCATCAACATTACCATCTTCATCATAAAAGTCATGAGCATCATCAGCATCGTCAGCATCGTCAGCCTCATCATCATCATCAGCAGCAGCATCATCATAGTCGCCATCGTCATCATTAACAGCATCACCAGGATAGTCATCAGCATCAGCAGCAGCATCATCAGCATCATCACCATCACCATCATCACCATAGTCGTCGACATCATCTCCACCATCAGTATCATCATCAGCAGCAGCTGCAGCATCATCATCACCAGCTTCATCATCATTCCCATCATCATCATCATCATCATCATCATCATCATCATAATCAGCAGCAGCATCATCATCATCGTCAGCATCATCATCAGAATTGTTATCATGATCATCATTAGCAGCAGCATTATCATCCTCAGCCCCATCCTCATCCTCATCTTTTATCGTCCCTCATCCTCCCCCCTTCTTCTCTTTCTACAATTACACAATATGAAAATGCTCTCCCACTTCCCCTGATGGCGTCCCGAAGATGGCCGACCCCCCCCCGCGTACTGTTTTTTTACACAGGATTCCCGGGAAACGGGTTTTCGCCTGCGTTTTTTTTCAAAATGCTGATCTCGCTGAGGCGCCAGCCTCATTTCTGCTCCCGAATCGTTCCGAATCGTGCTCCCGCTGCAGCGTGGGCCTCATTTTCGGATCGGTGTTTGGCCTCCGTCGTTCAGGATGGCGTTCTCGCCCCAGCGCGGGCCTCTTTCTCGCGCGCCCATCCGCCCGCCACCACCGCGCCGCACCACCACCACCACCACCACCACCACCACCACCACCACCACCCCACCACCACACCACCACCACCACCACCGCCGCGTCGCCACCACCACCACCACCACCACGACAACCACGCACACACGCACGCACGCACGCACGCGCACCACCACCCACTACGCACGCGCGCGCGGAGCCACAGGTCCGCTACGACACGCGTCCGCGGATAGAGAAAATCAGCGCCATGGTAAGGGATGGGAGGGAGGGGTAGGACGTCAGATATGACGCGAGCGCACCTAGCTTGGCTCATGCCCCTCCCTCCCTCTCCTCCCCCTCCCATTCCTGTCATTGGCCCCCGACCCCGCTTTCCGAAACCGCCGAAACAGCAACCCTCGAGGCCGAGTGTCCACGGCCCCCCGGGGACGCAGGGCCGCGACGACGGCGGAAGCCATCTGAGAGCCTTCCGATGTGCCTCCGGAGACCCCATGGAGGGGGAAGAGGAGAGGAAATGGACGCGCGGCGCTGCGAATTCAAAACGAGGACCCAACCCACAGGGAGGGTTGGGCAAAGACCTCCTCGGACCCAACACCTGGAGCCCCGCCTCCTCCTGGCCGGAGCCAGTGGCCGCGCCACCTCAGACCCCGCCCGCTGGCTCCAGAGTGCGAGGGCCCAGCTCCTCTGATCCCTCGACGGCGAGGCCCTCTTCCTGTCGGGGAGAGCCTCCGGAGGGCCTCCGGAAGGGGCCCCCTGGAGGCCCCCTCGGAGCCGCGGCGCCGGCCGAGGCCCTCGGAGGCCACCCCGCGGGCCCTCGGAGGGCCTCGCCTCGCCGCGGCAGGCCGCTTGGGGGCCGCGGGGTCAGGCGGCACCTCCTTCAACGGCGCGCTGCGGGGCCTCTCGGGCGGCGAGCGCAAGCGGCTGTCGATCGGCATCGAGCTGCTGCACAGCCCGAGCATCCTGTTCCTCGACGAGCCGACGACGGGCCTCGACAGCTACCAGGCTCGCGGGGGCTCCGCCGTGGCTGCGCCTCGAGCCTGGCCGCGCTGCGTCGGCCTCTCCTCGGCTGCCCCTGCCTCCGCCACGTCCCCGCCTCTTGCCTCACTCCTCAACCAAATCCTCCTCACCCGCCTCCGCCTGCTCCTCACTTCCCCCTTTCTCCTTCCCCTTCTCCTCCTCCTCCTCTTCCCCCTTTCTCCATTCCCTTCTCCTCCTCCTCCTCCTCCTCCTGCATCCTTTTTCCTTGTTAATGATTCCTCCCTGTCGCACGCCGAGGCCGGTTGAAACGGCGGGCCAGGCGTTTCGCTTGAGGCTTCAGCACCATCCATGATCTTAAAGCTTCAAATTTCACAACAGCTTCACAGATGGAGGGCTGGCCGCTTCCAAAATGTGGCTCCCGCCTGAGGGCCGCGCACATTCGTTTTAAAAACTAGCAAGAGCTTCACGGATTGAGGGCAAGTGATTTTCAAAATGTGGCTCTCGCCCTAGCGCCGCGCACATTCGCTTTAAACATTCGCAGGAGCTTCACGGATTGAGGGCGGGCCGCTTCCAAAATGTGGTTCTCGCCTGAGGGCCGCGCACAATCGCTTTGAAAACTAGCAAGAGCTTCACGGATTAAGGGCAAAATGTGGCTCTCGCCCTAGCGCAGCGCACATTCGTTTTCAACATTCGCAGGAGATTCACGGATCGAGGGCGGATCGTTTCCAAAATATGGTTCTCGCCTTAACGCCGCGCACATTCGCTGCAAACATTAGCAAGAGCTTAGCGGATTCAGGGCGGGTCATTTTCAAAATGTGGGTTTCGCTGTAGCCCCGCGCACACTCGTCTTAAGCATTTTCAAGAGCTTAGCGGAGTCCAATTGTCAACGTGCCAGAAATGGTGTGTGGAAGGATTCCGGATTGTGAGACGTTGATTCGCGGTGTTGAAGTCCCAGGCATGGTGTTCTGTCACGATCCCAGATCGTCAAGACGCAGCAGTCATGTTGATTCGTGGCGTTGGAGTCCCGAGAACGGTGTTGTGGCGCGGTTCAGGGTCTTCAAACGGTTGTCTCCTAATGAGGCAGTTCCCTCAGTGGAATTGAACCGCTGTAGGGGCCTACGAAGAGGGAGCTTGGAGGGAGGGTTTATGCCAACATCGTTGATGAGTCTTGGGTTTACACTGGTCCTCCTCCTCCTCCTCCTCCTCCTCCTCCTCCTCCTCCTCCTACGCCTCATCACTTGCCTCCTCCCCCTCTTCCCACTTTCCTCCCCTTCCGCCTCCGCCTCACTTTCCTCTTCATCCTTCAACTCATCCAGCCATCTTGGAGGAGCGAGCGTGCCCCAGCCATCGTCGTCGCCGTTGCCGTCGCCATCGTCATAGGCGGGTCGGGCGGGCGAACGAGACTCGTCGTCGTCTTCGCCGTTGTCGTCGTCGTCGTCGTCGTGGGCGAGTTGGTTGGGCGGGCGGGATGGACACGTCGTCGTCGTGGGCGAGTGATGGTCGATTGGGCAGGCGGGACACGTCGTCGTCGTGGGCGAGTCGGTCGGGCGGGCGGATGGGACATGCCGTGGTCGTCGAGTTCCTTGCCGTCCTCGCCGTCGCTTGCCGGGGCCAGGGCGGGAGTGGGGAGGGGTTCGATTCCCCCCCCCACCGGACTTCTGAGGGGAGGGGGGGTCGCACCCCACCCCGCTCCAAGCGTACACAGAAGGCACTCTCTCGAGTCTCGGAGCCGAGGGGCAGGCCCTGCGCCTGCCCCCGGCCGTGCCCATCCCCTGCCCTTCCCCCCCCGCTCTCCCCTCGCCATCTTCTCCCCGCAGGGGGGAGGAGATTGCGCTCTGTCCCCACCTGCCTCTCCTCCCCTCCTCCTCCCCTCCTCGCCCTCTCGTCCTCCCCTCCTCGTCGCTCGATGCGCTCCTGAGGAGGAGGAAGAGGAGGCAAGGATAAATGTAGCATTCAGAACACAGACAAGCGCGCACACACACACACACACACACACGCACACGCACACACACACACACAACACACAACACACACACAACACACACAACACACACAAATTAAGGTGTGTATATATATATATATAACACTATCGAATATAACTTATGCGAATGTGAGTACGAATATCTCCTGGCAGGGGGCACCAAGAGGCCAGGGCTTCCCCCCCAGGCCCTGAACGTCATGAAGAAGCTGCAGGGCCTCGCCGAGGAGGGCCGCACGGCGATCGGGGATGGTCCGAAGGACGACGCCGCCGACGACGACGACGACGACGCCGACGCCGACGCCGCCGCCGCCGCTGCCGCCGCCGATGACGACGACGACGACGACGACGACGACGACGACGACGACGACGACGACGACGACGACGACGACGACGACGACGACGGCGCCGACGACGACGACGACGACGACGACGGCGCGGGGCCGCGCCGCCCAGGCGCCAGTGGGCGTCCGCTGGCGCGGCGGCTCGCCACCCTGCTGCTGATCGCTGCTGCTTGCCGCGGCTTCCCGTCTCTCGGCGGCGCGCGAGGCGGGGCGACTCGGCGGCGAGCGGGAGGGGAAGTGAGAACGGGGAAGTTTCGGGCTCGAGGTTCGAGGTCTTCGGGCGTTTTCGTCGGTTCTCGGCGGCTTTCCAGCCTCGGGGTGCGTTCCAGCGATTGCGCCTCGCCGAGGGCGTTCCGAGGGTCCCCGGATCCTCCCGAACGGCCACCAGAAAGCCGAGTTATGACCCAAAAACCACCAGGCGTCCGAGAGGGAGATGGCCTTCTACGAAGCGGCGGCACTCCTCAGAAGCCCTCGCGTCTTCTGAGAAGCTGTTCCGTGTGTCTCTGGGGAGGGCTCGGAGAGCTCCTGCGAAGGCCGGGGGCCTTCCGAGCCCTCTGGGAATGCCCGCCCCCTCTCGCCTCCCCCCGTGGCCCGCCGCCGGGCTTGGGAGCTTCGCACACGCGCGGGTCAGAGGCGACGACAGGGGCGGATAGCCCAGGGAGGCCAATACGTGTATGCGGGCGCGCCGATGACCTGTGTATCCGGAAAGGCTCCCGGGCGAAGACGCGCCATGCCCGCCCCTGGGCTGCTCGCCCCCGTCGCCGCCGCCCAGAGGGCCAGGCAGCGCCGCCCTGCGGCGCCGCACCGCGGCCCCGCAGGAGGGCGCCCCGGGCGGGCCCCCGGCGGAGCCGCGGAGCAGCACCGCCCCGGGGCCCACGCCGCCGCGGGTGCGCCGAAGATGGGGGGGGGGGGGGCCGGGAAGCAGCGGGGGAGGGGGGCGCCGCGTGGCCCGAGGCAGGCGCGCGGACGACCCAGACTTGAGTCGTCCAGGGGGGGTAGTCAAGGCAGCCAGGAAGTCGTCGGGGGACGATGTTTGGGCCCTTTTGCAGCAGGTTGGGGGTATCTCTTCTTCTTCTCTGTCGTCCAAAATCCCCTTACAGTTCGGGGGACAGGCCCGACCTAAACCCATACCCCGTCGAGGCATGGAGACATCACGGCTGCCCCCCCCCCCCCCCCGGCGCCTCTGCTGCCACCCGCTGCTGGCCGGTGCCGGCCGCCGAGGGCGCGGAGGCACGGGCACGCGCGCCCGGGCGCGGAGGCTTAGCCGCGCGGCGCGTGCAGAGGGTGGGGCGACCCGCGGGAAAGGGGGAGGAGGAGGAGGAGGAGGGAGGAGGAGGAGGAGGAGGAGGAGGAGAAAGGATGAGGAGGAGAAAGGAGGAGGAGGAGAAAGGAGGAGGAGGGGGAGGAGGAGGGGGAGGATAACGAGGAGGAGGAGGAGGAGGAGGAGGAAAAGGAGGAGGATAACAAAAAGAATGAGGAGGAGGAGGATGATAACGAGGGTGAGGAGGAGGACGAAGAGGAGGAGGAGCAGGAGGAGGAGGAGGAGAAGGAGAAAGGATGAGGAGGAGGAGAAGGATAACGAGGAGGAGGAGGACGAGCGCAAACCCAAGATTCATCAACGATGTCGTACACCCTCCCATCTTTATAGGCCCTGACAAGGGGCCATGTCTACTGAGGGAAGTGCCCCGTTGGGGGACAACCGTGCGAACATCCTGTAGCGTGCCAAAACACCGTTCTCACGATTTCAACGCCAGGACTTGACCTGACTGCTACGTCATGGCGATCCTGAATCGTGCCAGAGCACCATTCCTGGGATTTCAACACTGCGAATCAACGTAACTGTCGCGCCCTGACAGTCGTGAACCACGCGCGACAATGCTACTTCAGCTACGTTGACCCTGAGAATCAGAGAAACTCTTGCAAGCGTTCCAATCGAATGCGCACGGCGCTAAGGCGAGAGCCACATTTTGAGAACGACCCGCCCTCAATACGAGAAACTCTTGCATGTTTTGAAAAACGAATGTGCGCGGTGTTGAAGCGAGAGCCACATTTTGAAAACCTCCCGCCCTCGATCCGTGAAACCCTTTGCAACGTTTTCAAAAAGTATGCGCGCGGCGCTAAGGCGAGAGCCACATTTTGAAAACCACCCCCGCCCTGCATGTGTGAAAGTGCTGTCAACTGTTATACATCAGGGTCGTATGTGGTGAGGAAGTCTAGGGCGAAAGGAGGAGGAGGAGCAAGGAGGAGCAAGGAGGAGGAGGAGGAGGAGGAGGAGAAGAAGGAGGAGGATCGCAAGGAGGATAACGAGGAGCAGGAGGAGGAGGAGGAGGAGGAGGAGGAGGAGTAAGTAGAAGAAGAAGGAGGAGAAAGAGGAGGAAGAGGAGGAGGAGGAAGAGGCGGAGGAGGAGGGGGGTGGTTTCTTGCTGCGCGCAACCAGGCCTCGGCCCACCGCCGGGCACTTCCCTGGTCGCGCGGGATCGCTGCTGGCACCGCGAGGCGCTCGACAAAAACAGATGCCACGTTCGGGGGCCCCCAGGCGGTGCGGTGACCACGCCGCGTGGTGAGTCTGTGGGGATCCGGGGTGAGCGCAGGGGTGTCGCACTCGGCTTCTTCTCCGAGGACGCCGCGGCCGACCATGGCCTCCGGGGTCCCGAAGCCGTGCGGTGAGGACCTTGGGGGTTCCGAGGCCACCGTACGGTCTGTCCTCCTCCTCCTCCTCCTCCTCCCCTCCCCCCCCCTCCTCCTCCTCCCTCCTCCTCCACCTCCTCTCCTCCCCTCCCTCCTCCTCCTCCTCCTCCTCCTCCTCCTCCTCCTCCTCCTCCTCCTCCTCCTCCTCCTCTTTTGACACGGCGCGGCTGGCCAACTGGGAGAGGCAGGCGGAGCCCACGCTCTTCACGGTCGGCGCCCCGTCGGCGATCGCACCGCAGGAGATCCGCCGCGCCATCCACTCCTGGGTCACCGAGTCGGGCCTCACGATGGACCAGGTGGAGCTCGATGGGCAGGTTCCGTCTCGCAAGTTCTTCATACGCACAACAGGTGGTGATGAGGTGGCGCGTCCCTTGGCGTTGGCTCTGGCACAAGGCCTCCGCACACGTAACGGATGGCGCAACTTTGTTGCACAGAATACACAAGGCGCTCAGACGCCGATCTACATCAACCCCGACAAAGCCCCCAAGACGGTCAGGCTGGAGATCCACACGAAGAAGGCAGAGCGTGTGCTTTCGGAGCGGCACCCACAGTTGCGCTTCACATGCCAGCGAAGCAAAGGTGTGGTCCTGGTCGATAACATTCCGCTGGTGGTGCTCACGATCCACGGTGTCGACGACCCCACCCAATTTGTCTGGCACGGCCCCACGGTCGACAAGTACACGATCGACAAGGGCCCCGTTGCAGAGGCGTTTGCTCGTCTCTCTCACACAGTGGATACTTCGGCTGATGGGTGGGGGCTTTAATGCCAGGTGGACGCCATGGGAGTGGCAGGCCAACTGTCGTGACGGCGCTCGCCCTGCGAGAGTTGTTTCCTGGAACGCTCGTGGGTTGGCGTGCGTAGACCCTCGGCGTCGTCGTGAGAAGTTCAGCAAGCTCTTCCCCTTCATGCGAGATCGTGCTGTTATCCTGGTGCAGGAAACGCACGGCACAACCGAACAATTGCAAGTACTTGTCGCAGCATCTCCATTCCACTACAAGTTGTTTCATTCTGGCACGGATCGTCCGGGTGCTGGGGGTATCGCCATCTTGCTCCCCTGGGTGTCGGCGTCACATGAGCTTCAACGCCCTGCATCTGAACGGCCTCTCCTGTCTCACGAAGTTCTCGCCCCTGGACGAGTTCAGATCCTTCAAGTCACACATCCGCTCACGCAGTGCTCCATGGCAATCATGAACGTTCACAACTACGAGCTGCCAGCCGCGGCGCTTCCGAAGATACGGGATCGATGGCATGAGCTCCTCCGCTGGTGTCGCGTGGACCCGTTGATGCACACCTTCGTGGCCCTGGGGGATTTCAACATCGCCGACACGGCCTCCGTCAGCTACCTCAATCCTGAGCCAGCCTCTGCGCGCCTTGCTGTGGACACTCACGTGTCCCCTCTTTCTGCCTTCTGGCGCCCGCTCATGTTAGCTGCCACTGAGATCAGCGCTGAGTTGCCCACGAGATTTGACAGGCAACATTTCACAGCTGTCGCTCTTGATCGTGTCTTCCTTGGGACTCCCACGGAATTCATGCTCGAGGTTGATGCCATCATGGAAGTTCATGTTGACCCTTGCCAGCTTTCGGACGCCCGTCTGAGCGACCACGCGTTGGTTTCGCTCTCGTTCCAGAATCGAGGCACGGGGTCAGCAAATGAGCTTCGGATTCCTGATTTCATTTTTTCTGATTATCGCTATCGCGATAAACTGTCCGCATTGTTGCATGCTGTCGATATCTCACACCTTCCAGCGGACCTCCGCTGGCAGTATATGAAGCAATATATGTGGGAGGCTGCACGGGAGACCCGTAATGAGCCCCAGCGCCTCCCGCTCACGTCAAATGATACGAACGCATGCGAGGCCCGTCTTGTCACGCTGCGGGCAATTGCTCGCGCGGTTTGGAGACAAGACCTTCGGACAGGAGCCACCCTGATGGCCACCACCGAGTTTGGTGCTCGATTTCTCGCCCTCTCCTCCTCCTCCTTGCTCTCTCTCCTCGAACCCGATGCGTTCCGAGATCTTTTCCGTGAGATGAGTGCTGCCGCACTTGAGCGCCGACGGTCGCAAGCTGCCGCCCTGGCCCAACGCGCGAATGCGGCTGGACAGGCCCAAACTGCTGCAGAGGCACGCCGGCAGCAGAGAGCCATCCAGAAACGCGCCAAGCTCTGGAGGCCCCGTGGCAGCGCCCTCATCCTCCAAGGGGTCCGACCGGAGTCGACCGCGGGGGAGTGTCGTAACGGCGTTGTGCGCTCGAGCGCAGATATTCGCAGTGCCTTGTCGGACCATTGGGGGGAGGTCTTTAAAGCCCGGCGAGTTGATCCCGACAGGCTCCGCAGTTATTTAGACCGTGTTTTCGATGGCTCGGGTGTGTTTGCGGATGGTTCCGGCTTCGTTTCGCTTCCGACCCCGACGCGCGCGGGCCTCGAGGTGGCCAGGCGGCGTGCCCGTAACTCAGCTCCTGGACCTGACGGGTTCACCTACCAAGCCTGGGCCGCGATACCTGAGCAACTCGATATACTGCATGATCTATCCTTGCAGCTTTATCGTGGCGACCCTGTGCCCCTCGATTTGAACGACTCTGTCTTTGCATTCTTGCCGAAAGGCAACAATCCAGAAGACGTATTCGATTGCGTGCGTCAGCCGAGCAAAGTCCGCCCTCTCTCGCTGCGCAACACTGACACCAAAATCGTCGCCAGCGCTGCCAATCATCAGCTACGTTAGGTTGTTGCCAAGCGAGTGCATGGCAATCAGCGTGGCTTTGTCACCGGAAGAAACTTCATCCGCAACATTGTGCACATGGATGCCTCAGCACGTGCTCTTAGCATCGCTCCAGGCGGTGACCTCAACATGCCCTGTTTTGTTTCATTTGACATTGTTGCGGCATTCCCATCGGTCGCCCACCAGTGGCTCTTCGAAGTTCTTCGCCGGCACGGCGTTCCTCCAGGCTACCTCAACCTCCTTCGTGCCCTCTACTTTTGCCCCCGAGGCTTTGGACGATTCGGTGGAGAGCTCCACTTTATGGTTTATTTGTGCAGCGGGGTTCTCCAGGGCTGCCCCCTTTCGGGATCGGTCTGGGCGCTCATTTTCGACCCTGTGGTGAGGTTGTTGTCTGAGGCTGTTGAGCAACCCCCGCCAGGAGACATCCCAGGAGAAGTAGGAGGTTGTGCCGACGACATTGGCACCCTCCTGCCCCAGCTCCGCACGCTCGCACGATTAGCCCCGCATTTTAGTGCCATCGAGCGCCATGCACACTTGTCTCTACAGCATGCCGAATGTTGCATCGTGCCGCTCTGGACTGAATGTACGTCCGAGCTTGTGTCGCGAATCAAGCTGCGGCTCCAATCTGAGGTCCCTACGTTCTGTTCATTTGATGTTCAGCCGGCTACAGCGTATCTCGGTGTCCAGTTTGGCCCCGGTGGAGGCCTTCTTGACCAGTGGCACGTCGCGTCCCAAAAGTGGTGGCACCGGGCGATCGAGCTCCCCTCGTCTCGTGCTGCCGCGCCGCTCCTGGTGTATCAGTATAACACGTATGCTGTTAGCACGCTCGGCTATCTCGCCCAATTCTTCCCCATGTCCCCTCTTGCTCTCTCGCGTGAGGCTCTCGCTCTTCACAAGCTGCTCCGTCTTCCCCCCAATACGTTTTCTCGCGCCGATTTGTTGTCGTTGCAGTGGATCGGCTCGACGCCGAAATCGCTCATGCTCCTGGGTGTCTCGGCAGCGTGGCGCACATTGACCCACACCGTGCCCGACTGGCACGCTGCCTACGACAAGTTGCAGCAGGCCGCCGATGCCGCTTGTGGATCGCTCCCCCTCTCCGCCCCCCGCTGGGCTCTAGGGGAATGGTGCGCCCCGTGCTGGAAGCATGGCCAAGCGATTGTGCAGTATTTCCAGGAGCTCACCGCCTCCACCCCTCGTGTCGTCCAGCGTCGTCGTAACGGCTTGCGTCGCCCTCTCTTCCCCTTCTCGGTTCGTGTTTGGGACGATGCCCGGGCTGAGGGGCGCCGAGAGATTCGCAGTGCTCTCCAGGAGGTTCGTCCCCCCAAGCTTCAGAGAGTTGTAGGCACTGCGCTCATGCACGCTGTGTTTCCTGATAGATTGTTTCTCACGATCGCTCGCAGGCTCACTAAGTGGCAGTTTACATGTCCACCAGCTCTTGATACGAGATGGGCTCTTGTGCGTGAATGTCTTGAGCAAGTCAGGCCTGCGTGGCGGTGGGCGTACACCAAGAGCGTGTGCGGAGGCTGGACCACAAGTGCACGCATGCATGTTTCGCGGCACACCCGTGACTGCATCTTTGGATGTGGAGGCCCTGATGCGATAGCTCACTATTTCATGTGCCCTCGGATGCGCCACCATGTCGCCTTAAGCTGGATGCGACTCGTCTTTCCTTCGGACCCCCTCCTGTGGCTCGGCCTCGGTGCCCCGACCGAGTACGGCACAGAAGACTGTGAGATAACGCGCCTCCAGGCTGTCGAGGCCACCGTCCTTGCCTTCCACATTTACCACAAAGCCAAAGATTCTGTGCCTCCGGAGGCGCACCTCTCATATACAGAAGCCGAGCGGATCACTGGTGCTGCGCGTTTGGCGCTTCGCGTCTAGTGCGGTCATCGGGAGTCCGCCTTCAGGGTACGTCTCCTCCTCCTCCTCCTCCTCCTCCTCCTCCTCCTCCTCCCGTGCGCCATCCCCGAGGTGATCGTCAGCATCCACCAGCCCCGCTCCCAGATCTTCGCGCTCTTCACCAGCCTGTGCGTGCTCTCCCGCGGGGCGCCCGTCTACTCCGGCTCCGCGGAGAAGGCCTCGGAGTAACCCCCAACGACGACGACGACGACGACGACGACGACGCCGACGACGCCGACGCCGACGCCGCCGCCGCCGCCGCCGCCGCCGACGACGACGACGACGACGACGAAGACGGCGGTGATGGCCGCAACGGCGACGAAAGGCCACGGACTACTTCGCCGGATTGGGCCACCCGCTGCCCTCAAGGTTCAGCTCGGCCCCCCTCCTCCCTTGGACGGGGCTAGGACGAGGATGAATATGTCCCAGAGCGCTCCAGAACGCTCTCAGAGCGTTCCAGAACGCACTGAGAAGGCCGCGGCGCCCGAGACATCCTCCAGAGCCGCCAGATCTCAGAGGTTCTCGACTTATCCTCACCCGAATTTGTCCTCGTCCTAGCTTCGTCTTTATCATCCCTTCCTCGCGCCCTCGAGGAGGAGGAGGAGGAGAAGGAGGAGGAGGAGGAGTAGGAGGATGGAGAGGAAGAAATGAGGAGAGGAGGGCGAAGAGGAGGGTGACAGGGTTGGGTTGGTTGCTGCGCCCCGAGGTTCAACCCGGCCGACTTCATGATCGACCTCGTCTCGGTGGACCAGATCAGCCCCGAGGCGCAGGAGGAGACAGGGGAAGGCCTCAAACGCGCGCCAGTCCCCATCTCCATCCGCACCCTCTCATCCCTCCTCCCCCCTCTCCCAGCTCCCCCATCCTGGCCCTACCTCCTCCTCCCCCACTTCCCGAGAGCTCGTTACGAATCCCGCTTTCATCGCGAACGGCCCACCGTGCTGCTGTGGCTTCTCCTCAAGCTCTGGAGCAGAGTTCGGCAGCCCCCGTGTCGCGAGCGGGAGCGCGCCCACCGAACGGACCTCTTCCAGGGCAGCGGCCCCAAGACCACTTGCGAGAAGGCCGCGTGAACTCGCGACATCTCGGCTGCGCTCTGCCACTCCATGGGCACGGACAATGCCACAGTGCTGCTGGAGTTGAAGACATTACGCGAGCATCGAACAGAACGCCATATACATAAATTTCTGGCGCTCCGCGCGGATCCGAGAAGTCCCCGCGGAGCGCCAAAAGTTTATGGTTATGACGTTTTTTCGTTTTTGGGAGCATGTGGGACACCATGATTTGTTCGATGCAGCCCGACAGTTCGATTTCCATGCAAAGTTGTTGCGGGGGTTGCTTGCGATCTACTCGGGATATCGGACGATGCTGCACGACGGGGCGATTTCCAGCTTTGTTTAGGCGCCTGGGGCGATCATCGCGGGGTGTTCGGCGGCTACGACTCCAGCGAAATTGTTGCTTTGGGGACCGATTTCCAGGGCTGTGTCGGGCAGGCCGCAGCTGCAGATTAGGAGCGTTGAACATCCCGCTCCAGTCTTTTGGCCCGAGCTCCGTGGTCGTGGACCCGTTGCCGACGGCCGTCGAGCGCCTCTTCCAGCCCTTTCGGAAGGACGGGCTCCCCGTGAACTTGAAGAGGTACAAGTTCCCAGCCAGCTCCGCAGACCTAGCCAAGTCACTGATGAAGAATTGGACCATGCCCCATGAGCAGCAAGGGTTAAGTCGGGCCTGTCCCTCTACAGGAGGAATATTCAAAAATAGTCACAAAATAGTATAGGGACGATTTTCTAGAATTTGTTGACCATGCTCGAATATTTTGTTTAGTATTTCTTCGTCCCAAATCGGCCTGTAGGGGGACAGGCCCGATCTAAAGCAGGGGGGACACGGCCAGGAACCTTGGGGCCGACGCCAGCCTCGGAACGTCCGACGCGTTGGCCTCGCCAGGGCCCGTTGGGGGATGTCAAACGAGTCTTGGCGGCGGCCGTCTCGCCTTCGCGATGCTGGAGCTGACGCTTCAAGTGGGTCCAGTGGTGTGGCCCGACGGCGTCCTCGCTCCTGGGCGCCTGTGTCCCCAGAGGTCCGGTGCCGTGACTTTTTCCATGCGGGGTCCCCGGAAGCCTCGACCCCTTCCCCAGGACCGGTTTTGCATCCCGAGTCGTTTTTTGTCTGCCCCGGGTCCGGCGAGGGCCCCTCGAGGCCGAAAGATACGAAAGACCTACGTCTTGATTTTTGCAATGCAGTGGCTCTTTGGGTCCCGGGGAGTCCCCCCATCAGTGCTCCACCGCGCGAGGGCTCGGGTGCGCAGGAGTCCCGGGAGGCTTCCGAGAAGGGTCCTCGGTCGGTCTCCGCGTTCCTCCTCTCCCTCCTCCTCCTCGTTTCCCTTCTCCTCTTCCTCCTCCTTCTCATGCTCCTTCTGCCTTTCCCCTCCCCAGGAGGATGGGGCGGAGGGAGTGTGGTGAGTGGTTGGGGGGGGCGGGTGGGAGTGGGAGTAGTGGGAGTGGATGCCAAGTTAGCCAGGTCGCACTCCTCCCTGGACGGGGTCGGGGTCGGCCCCGGGGTGATCCCCGCGGGCCTCGCGGCGCACCAGTGGGCGCCGGCCGTCTGGGACTCGGACCCCAAGCCCCGCATCATCCGCAAGTCTCTGGAGGCGTCGCGAGAGCGCTGGGTCTCCTCGAGGCCATGGTTGGGAGCGGCTTCCCCAGGCGACGTGTTCTTTCTGATGCTTCGGGAGGTCGGCTGGACGCCGACGTCGTCGCAGGAGCGTCGCACCGACGTCGGCACAGTGATCAAGATGGTCCGCATGGGGCCCGCCTTGGTCAGGAAGCTGGTTGAGGCAGGGGCGAGCCGCGCGTCGGAAAGGAGAGTGCTCGAAGCCATTGATTCGCTTTTTCATACAAAAAAACAGTTCTCGGGCCGCGCTCTCCTGCTCGCTTCCCAGCGACACCAGCGCCCGGTCTGAGAGAGGCAGCCGCTTGCCTGTCGGTCGGTCTTTTCTCTGGCTCCTGGTGGCCCCCCGGCGGCCTCCCAGGGGCCCCGCCCGGGCCCCGTGCGCGGGAGCCGTGGGGGGCTGCCCCCATTGCTGGGTCGAAGGCGTGCACTCTTCCTCCTCCTCCTCCTCCTCCTTCTCCTCCTCCTCCTCCTCCTCCTCCTCCTCCTCCTCCTCCCCCTCCTCCTCAAGCATAGGTGGGCGGGGCGCGTGGTACCATCTTTTGGCTCCTACTCGCTCGCGCTAGCCCAGCTTCCCGTCTTCTCGTCGGCGCTTGGGGGACATCAGGGAATCTGGACCGTGTTGGGAGTCGTTTGCTCACAACGGTATCGTCCAGCCTCTCCTGGTGACGAAGGGGAGCGAATTCGCGATGTCAAGTTTTATTATTCCGGGGCTTTGGCACTGGCCAAACAAGCTGGTGGATATCACTACGGGTTTCGCGTGGTGTCGCTTCTCCAGTTTGGGCGGCATGTGGTGGGGCTTTGGAATGTTTCAGTATGGGCTCATTTCGTCAGCTATCGTTTGGGCATCTCCCAGCGCCGCCAGGGCAGGGTATGTCTTTCGGTTTCTGGTGTTGGGGCCTCCATTTCTCGTGCGTCAAGCGTGAGCCAGACTTCATCAGCTACAACGCTGGGATCTCCCATCTCCGCCAGGGGAGAGTATTTCAGTTGCTTTTGGTGGTTATGGTTCGCTGTCTTCGTGCAGTTGTTTTTTCATGTTGGTGCAGAAGGCTCGGCTGGAAGGAATGAACAGTTTGGGTGGTATTTTTGGCTGCGTTGCTATCTTGCGAGGCTGTCTGCGGAGGAGGCGATCTTTATGATACGCGTGAGAGGTTGCCCGTTGACCTGCGGAGAGGGCCGAATCGAGCCAAGTCCGTTTCAGTTTGGCTTGTTATGCTTCGTTCGTTGGGGTGCCATTCGAATTTGGAGGGATTCGCTATGTGACAACGCTTTGCGCTCCATAGACTTCGTTGTCGGGTTCTTCATGTACCTTCTGCTGAGGTTCCTGTACTGGGTCGTCTCGTTCGCGGGTATGCTCAGTGAGTGGTCTTAGTGTGGTCTTAGTGTAGTTGCCCTGTTTTCACCACGTGAAGGCGGAAATCCTGGAAATCCTCCCCCTCCTCCTCCTCCTCCTCCTCCTCCTCCCCGCTGCTGGGTCGAAGGCGTGCACCCTTCGAGCTCTTGGCCGTGCGGAGGCCGACCGCGCCTCCGCGCTAAGGACGCAAAGGGCGTTGTGTCCGACCCCTCGGATGTCTCCGATAGGGTCTGAGGGTGACCTGGACTAGGCCTCCACGAACCGTATTCAGGGCTCTGTTTAATCTCATCTCACCTCCTCATCCTCCTCGCTCTCGCCAGTCCTCGCCTGCCTCCTCCTCCTCCTCCGCCTCCTCGTTGTCATCCTCCCCCCCCCACGTTTTAACCACCCACCGTCGCATCGCCCTGCTCTGCAGGAGCTAGGGCGACGGAATAGAAGAGGAGGAGGAGCAGGGGGAGGAGGAGGAGGAGGAGGAAGACGACGACGACGACGAGGACGAGGAGGACGAGGAGGACAAGGAGGACGAGGACCATAACGAGGACAAGAACGAGGACGAGGGGGAGGAGGAAGAGGACGAGGAGGAGGAACAGGAGGAGGAGGAACAGGAGGAGGAGGAGGAAGAGGAGGAGGAACAGGAAGAGCAGGACGAGGAGGAGGAGAACGATTTTTATATGCTCGTGGGTCAGCGCCAAGCCCTGACTTCAAAATTTTCTAAGAACGACGAAGGGTCCGAAGGGACCGAAAAGGGACGAAGGACGGAAACCCAGGACTCAAAACGAAGCTGGCCGAAAGGACCGACCGAACAAACAGGACCGAAAACCCCGAGGGCCATCAATCATTGTGCATCCCCGTGCAATTATCGGGCACGGACGCGCGGGGCGGCATCAAACGGCACGCTTGGAGCGATGCTTGTCGGAGCCGCCTCCGCCAAGCCAACCCGGTGGCCGATACGAATTGGGTGCGAACCTGAAGATAGGTTCGTGGCGAGGTTCTCCACGATCAGCGCCATGATCAAACGCAAGAACAGCAGGCACAGCTGGTCCCTCGAGCCAGGCAGCTGCGATGGCACGGCGCGCAGTCCCCCATGTCGTACTGGTGGAACGGCTGCCGTCTTGGCCGCTTCTTGGGCTGTCTTAGGCGCCTACGACGGCCCACGAAGCGCCCAAGAAGCGTTCGCCGATGATGTCTCGAGCGAAACGCTGTTTTTAAGCCCCGGTCTTCTCCAGGGAGGCATCGCCATCAGCACCTCTCAAGGTTCCGGAGGAGTGTGATCAGCCGAATCGTGAACTGCAGCATCCCAGTGTGCAGTTTCAGAGGGTCGTCTGCGGGACCCGCAGGTGGTACCTACTGAACAGGAGAGGGTGCATCTCCAGGCCCACAAGGAAGCTGCCCCCGTGGGTCATCAGCGACAGCATGAACATGAGCTGGGGCGCCGTCAGGGCAAGCATCTCGCACGGCGTCAGGAGGCTTGCCACACATCATCTTCATCAGGAAGAGCACGTCCAGGGCGAGCTTGACCAGGCCGCTCCTCAAGGTCTTCACCACCAGGAAGACGCACAGGGAGGAGCGGGTCCAAGTAGGGGTGTGATCGGAACTCTTCCGGGGTACGCATGTCGAAAGTGCGGGGACAACCGAGCGTTTCCTCGAGGCCAGGCGGCGGGGACTGCCGCGCCCAGTTTGCCCCTGCGCAATCTTCTTCGGCTGCGCGAAGGAGGACTTCTTCTGCAGCTCGCACAAGTTTGGCAGCCTTCAGGCCGCCGAGGAGGAGGTCGGACAGCGTCCAGTGCATCACCATGCCATTTCGAAAGAGTCCAGCTTGGTGGGCCAACGCGGCGCCGCGGCTCACACCAACCTCTCGACGAGAATCTCGACGTCGTCGCCTGGAGGAGGAGGAGGAGGAGGAGGAGGAGGAGGAGGAGGAGCAGCAGGAGCAGGAGGAGGAGGAGGAAGAGGAGGAGGAGAAGGAGGAGGAGGAGGAGCAGGCGTAGAAGGAGGAGGAGGAGGAGTAGGAGGAAGCAGGAGAAGGGGGAGGAGGGGAAGAAGCAGGATGAGGAGGAGAAGCAGGAGGATGAGAGAAGGAGGAGGAGGGACGAGGAGGACGAGGAGGAGGAGGAGGAGGAGGAGGAGGAGGAGGAGGAGGAGGAGGAGTGGGAGGGAAAGGAGGTGGAAGAGGAGGAGGAGGAGGAGGAGGAGGAGGAGAGGAGGAGGAGGAGGAGGGGGGGGACAAGCGACGGCGACGGTGACGGCGACGACGACGACGACGACAACGACGACGATGAGGACGACGACGACCCGACGACGACGAGGACGACGACGACGACGAGGACGACGACGACGATGAGGACGACGACGATGAGGACGACGACGACGACGACGACGACGACGACGAGGGCGGCGGCGGCGGCGGCGGCCGTCCTCCGAGAAGACGGAGGCCAGGGTCGAGAGCCTGCACAAGTCTTGGTTGGAGCACCGCGTCAGCGCCGCGGCGGCCGCAAAGGCCCCAAGGGGGGGGGGGGGGGGGGGGGGGCGGCCCGCGGCCCGAAGGGGTCCCCCGACGGCCATCCTCCGTCCTTGCCGCCCTCCTGCTCCCTTCCCTCCCGCTGCTCTCCCTCCCGCTGTCCCCCCTCCTCCTCCTCCTCCTCCTCCTCCTCCTCCTCCTCCTCCTCCTCCTCCTCCTCCTCCTCCTCCCCCCCCCCCGTTGCCATTTTGGCTCAGGATGACTCTACCCCAGCGGTGCCACATGAAGGAAGAAGCTTCAACCTGGGAATCGCCGCCAAACCCGAAAGCAGGGAGGGGTAAACCCAAAACCCGCGGAGGGGCGAAACACGAAGACTCGGTGGGGTTCAACCCGTAATCGCGAGAAGGATCCGAAGTTTGGGGTGGTTCGGCTTGGGCGCGTGGGAGGTTCGAGGCGACTGGGCCGGGCGCGGGCGGGCGGGCGGGCGGGCGGGCGGGCGGGCGGGCGGGCGGTCAGGCGTGTGTGCGGGCGGCGGGCGCGCGCGCGCGCTGACGGGTGGGCGGGCGCCAGGCATTCGCTCCGCAGGCGCTGCCACGTGGCGAGTGCAGAGGAGTAGTATTAAGTCGGGCCTGTCCCTCTACAGAGGGCATATTCAAAAATAATCAACAAAAAAATACTCTGGGGACGATTTTTTGACCATTTTTGAGCATTTGGGAATATGTTTTTTTTCGTCCAAAATTCCCCTGTGGGGGGACAGACCCGACCTGACAGTACTTGTTTCGCTCCTCTGGCGTTGTTTTCCGTACTGCAGGCGTTGCCACGTCGCGAGGAGAGTGGATGAGCATATATTTCGCCCCCAGGCGTCTGCCACGCGGCGAAGAAAGTGGAATAGTTTCAATGCCCGCCCTGCAGGTTTGACCGCTTGCCGAGTAGAGGGACGAGGGAGGAGCGAGGAGGGAGGTGGGCCCGAGGCAGGAGGCAGGAGGGAGGAGGGAGGAGGGAGCAGGAGGAGAAGGAGGAGGAGCAGCAGGAGGAGGAGGAGGAAGGAGGACGGAGGTCGGTCGGATCGGGCATTGAGGCGGTCCTCGTGCCGTGATGGGGGAATGGCTCACACCCCGTGAGCCAGGGGCAACTCTTATTCCGCACGCCAGCCCCTCAGTGCGAGGAGGGGTACCCAGCCCTGAGCCCGAGCTTGCCATGGGGCACCAGGCCCGCCCGGCACACACCAGGAGCAGGGGCGGCGACGGAAAGGCGTGAGCCTCTGAAGCGAAGCAAATAACTGACTGCGAGAGGGAGGCAGAAACCAGCAGCGGAGGAGGAGAAGGGAGGAGGGAGAAGCAGGGAAGAAGCACAGCAAAGCGCATCGCCATCATGCGTGCAGGCTGGTCCGGCTCATTATCTGGCAGGTCACCACCAATGGAGGATCATCACATTGTTCGGCATAGTCGACAACCAGAACCGCCGCATTAGTACAGACAAAATGCACCAACGACTGCTTCAGAAACCCTGCAGGGGGAATTTGCAATATCTTGTTTAGGAAATCCAGTGGTACATCAGCTCTGCAGGAGCTTTCGATGTCATGAGCAACGTCAGCCTCATTGTGAACAGTGCCCTGGAGGACACGAACGAATGTCGTGGAGGCTGTTTGTCGCGGATAGGCTGGTACATCCAAAAATGACCATTGAGGCGCCACGGCTTGAGATGTCACGGACTCGGCGCGTCGCGTACTTGAGCGATGCCATCAGCCATCAGGAATGCGGGTGCATGCTCTCGAAACCCAAACCTGGAAGAGCGCCGCTGCTCGACTGCGAAGCAGAAGTTAACGTCAGGCCGACGTGTGATTGCCGAATGCGCTAACCAGGAAAGGAGCTGTGCAGTATGAGCGAGCAGTGTCACAGAAACTGCACGTGCCGCGGCTGTGAAATGTCACGGAGTCGGTGTCCCACTCACCGCTGCGACAGCATTCACAACGATCCAAAGCTGCATGGCCTCTGTCGCGCGGATAGGCCGGTACACCCAAAATCACCAGCAGGTGAACATGAGGGTCAGATACCACAAAAGAAAACGAACGAATCTAACGTCGCCACGCCGCCGGCCGGGTAGACGTCACCACACCTCCGGCCAGGTACGTAAAGTTGTACAGCTACCTCCATGTTGGCTGTTCCGAAAGCCTTCGCCGCATAGTGCTGCCAGCGCGTAGGAGGACACTACACGACATCGTGGCTGCAATAAGCAAGTACCAAGAACATTAGTGACACGATCTCAATAGCCGCCCTGGCGTCCGTCAGCCAGTACCCAAATAAACAGCAATCATGACTAAAATGAAAACCGTAAGCCTTGACCCGCCCATGGGGCCACGGCCTGATGGCGTGCCGCGCGAACCGCTTGGAGCCGTGAGACTCTCCTCGCACGGGCCGTCTCACGGTTGGCCGCGATGCGGCCCAGCTGCTCTGGTGTGAGGGCCGGCGGGGGAGGTCCAAGCGGAGGAGGCACATCAGGTACGACACCAGCTTCGTCGAGGGCATCCGCCACGTCCTGCTCGGTAAGGGCATCCGGGGACGTCTCGGCAAGAGGCTCATCGACCACGGCAGGGCCAGGCGCCCGGAACCGATGCTTCTCAGGGTCGCAACGGCACTTACGAGAATGACCAGCTGCGTCGACGACGTCAGGGGCCCACGAAATCCCATATGGATCCCAACCCACGTAGAAAGCCAACAACTCCGCTTGGGCATCCTCTGGGTCTAGCAAATCTTCCGGGTACGAGTCAGTGTCGGTGTCCCACAAGGTCTTGATAGTAAGCATCGTGGACCTCGCGAGGGCAGCGCACAACAAGGGCGGGTACATCTTCTGGATTGGGCTCGATTTCTGCTTCTCGGAGCCCCTCGCGGTCTGATGGGCGCCCCTTCCGTGCGAGCATGTTCCTCGCCCCGGCGTGTCGGTGAGGCAATCCACAAAGCGCTCCATCCGGAGGCCGAGAAAACGAGTAGGGGCACGAGCGGCCGCCCCGAGCTCGCACTGATCAATATCGACTGTGTGCGTGATGGGCTTTGTCCTCCTCCTCCTCCTCCTCCTCCTCCTCCTCCTCCTCCTCCTCCTCCTCCTCCTCCTCCTCCCCCTCCGCCGCTCTGCGCTGCCCGGAAGGAAGATCGCGTCCTGGAGGAAGGCCGCAGGGTTCAGGACTTGTCCCCTCAGTCCCCCAGGGCCCCCGCGAGGGTGCGAGGAGAGCCCGAAGTGGGGCCCATGAGAATACGCTGGGAGCCCGAGCCTCCCATTCGCATGATGACGAATGCGCCATCCAACCACTCGTGCCCACGGCGGCGTGCTTCGACAGGAGGGTGACCAAAGCTATGAGCAGCGTGTTGCCTATGTTGAGCTGTCGTGCCTGCCGTGCTGTGGCATTGCAAACTCCCCAGAACGCGCCATGGGTGCGAAGTGGGGGCGGGCCAGGGCCCTCCAACCACCACGCTGGAGGCCAAGTATCGCCGGGAGGGCCACCGCCAGTGAGGACAACTCGACGAGCAAGCACATGGCGGGACCAAACGGCCAGGGAATCAGGATGACTCAAATTGCATGTGTCAGCATCAATCGCGATGTCAACGCTCAGGACCACGATGGTGAAATCAGTCGCATGATGCGTCGGCGCCCGCAAAACAGATGCGCAATGTAGAACTCGACTCTTTTGACTTTGACCGGAAAACGAGTAGCCATGAATCCAGAATATTCCGACGTACGAAATAAGTCCAACGGGTACCGTTCGGGGATGGCCTCTTCGACTGGATCTGCAGGCCGCGGAAGCACCTCCAGCTGCGGCTCCGTCAAAAGAGCCCTCGCCTCATCGGATAACGCCGGGTCTGAGTCCAGTAGGATAGCCCGGGCCTCAGCGGGAGCAAGCTGCTGAAATAAATCCTGCGCCAGATTAGACAGGACTCCGGGAGCCCTGAAGATCGGAACGGCAGCGCGCCGCCTGAGTTTTGCATGTACGCGGGGAGCACGACCGTCAACGTCCGGAGCGCTCGTGACAGGGCCCAAGTGGATGCAAACCACCAAGCAGACTGGAGCATCAATAAAGAGGTGATCGATGAGCAGCTCGCGATTATGAAAGACACGAAAGCATGCTTGGCACTGTGGTAGGGTCTGCGCCCAACGACGAGCAAATCGAGCATGCTGACGGTGTACGCGGGAAATGTGCGTGCGAAGGCCCTGTAGTTTGTCAAAGTGTTGCCGACACCATGGGCACGCGTGCGGCGGGGCAGGCGAGCCAGAGCGCGCGTGCTGGCAGGACGGGGTCATTTGTGACGCTGAGGGGGTACTGAGGAGACGGCACGCCTGCAGCGAAGAGGTCCTGGAAGATTGCATTTTGAGCGGCAGCGGCCTGCTGGATCCTGGCCCGATGCGCAGCGTCCGCTCCCAGGCCCGCGCGGACCAAACGCTTCCACCGAACCGGGGGCTCTAGGATAAAGTGCTCCCATTCACGGAGACCCTGAGGGAGAGCAGGGAGGTCGCTCATGTCGGGCACGTGCTGCTGCAGCCAACGCAGGTCATCCAAGAGAAGGTGCGCCCAAGCAGTCGGCCGACTAAGCTGCAGTCGTTGACGGATGGCTTCCTTCAACACGAAGACGCGACCGAGAAGAGCGAAAACAGCAGGCGGCGCTCCTCCCAAGAGAACAGCAAAAAGTCGTAGTCGCTCGGCCCGCAATAGAAGCATAGGCAGCGGCCGGTTCACCTGCGCCAAGACACTCGCATCCGTAACGTGCTGGCCGGCGCTCGCCAGGGAGCCCCTCGCAGCAGCACGATAAAGTTGCATGGCGCCAGCATGCACGTAATCTTCAACAGCCGAGGTCAGATCAGGCCAGGCGCCTCCGTTGAACAACCGGGCGGATAGCACAAGGCTGTCCGTGAAATGTATCTTGGCATGCAGGTGAACATCAGAATTGCCGTGGATTTTCCTCTGCAACGCTTTGGCAGACGTTCCGGGCGAAGCTCGACGATAAAGGACCTCAGGCCACATGGAGCCCTTATCATCACACCAACCTCCAAGA